ACTCACTCTTTCATTCATTCACTCATTCATTTATTTATTCAATCACACACACCGAGTTGGTAAAACGGATTCTCCCACAAAGAAGAACCTTAAAAGCGAGGGAGGAAATGGGTAAAAAGGTAAGCGGGTCAAGGAACAAAAAGCATTGACAGGTCAAGTGGCCGGCTCCATGCAACCTCAGGTATACATGTGTAAATCCGATTTCATTTACCTATAACATTTTGCTGCCAGTCCATGAGGAGATTCCGTTAAATCAGACAAACATCTTTGGAGTGTTGGCGCGCTGATCGGGTTTCCCTCACCACAGCGCAGGTGAAGCACCTGACCCTCGTGGCTCGGGATTTTCTAGAGGAAAAGTCAACACGTCTTGACTTGTTAACCGTTCACTAAACATTCTTAAGACCGAATTAACAATGAGGATGATGTCGGCCGAAGATATGAATTTCTTAGGGGGATTAATTTGACACCAGGTATACCAAGTGGCGGTCATTCTTAAAGGTGACTGACCGACAGAATTGTTATGTTAGCCGTTGTGATGACAAGTAGAAACTTTAAATCCAGATAAATATCTGTCCTAATTTACTTTTTCAGTATCTTATTCTTCTCTTCTTTCTTTTTCCAGGCATCCTCTTCTATTTCTAAGGAAATGATCAAGGTAAGTATCTTCTCTCTCCAAATCGTTATCATTCTCAAGGGAACAATCTCCACTATCTCCAAATTACGCTTTTTTGGTTATTCGTATCCGGGATGTTTTTACTCTGCTGAGAATTAAAGCATATCATCTACATCTTTAGTCTTTCAAAGTATTGTTTTTAAGGATCATCCTTCATTTAATTGTCAACCGTCTTTTCAGCGGTAACAGTACATTTTAACACCTTTTTAACCGCGACCATTCCTAAAACAAGTTTAATGCATCTTTCGCGTAAGATGTCATTATACCCCAAAAAGAGTCCGAAAAGAGAGTGTCGACCCCAAGTGAGTGACTATTTCAAGTATGCTTCAAAAGGAGGGCTAAACTTCATTTTTACCTTTTCATTTTACTTTTTGGTTTGCTTTGAGATGTATATTGGAAAAGTTCCAGAAGTTTATAATAATCTTAATCTGTTTACTTTACAAGATTAATTTGACTTCTCTCAATCGATTCCTGGTAGAAAGCACAGATTGATGCTTATTTTATAAGACTAAAGGAAAGACGAGCCTCAAAACGTGGAGAGACTTTCTGGCACATGTGCCTACTCTACAAACTGCGTAATTTGGACTCGGTGGCCACTGCTGTAGGTACTAACTAATTGAGCCATGTCCTTCGCACCTGCAGCAGATGTAGGCTGGGCCCTGTTGGTTTTCTCTGACAATATAACGACAAGTGGTGGGGGAAATACAGGGAGGAAGAACGGTGACATACCAAAACAACAGGGGAATGACACAGAGAGAAGATAGCCAGAGAGAGATAGAATGAAAAAACAGCTTGACAGGGAGAGGGAGAGAAAGAGCAATAAGAGAGAGAGAGGGGGGAGAGAGA